TGACGATCGAAAAACAAGGTGGCTCCGAGCTTTTGTGCCATGCTTTACAGCTACATTTTTGACGTTTGAAAAGCTCTAAAAAGTTCATTTCTTATTCTCGAATCGTTAAAGTGGTTTTCCTAGTTAAATTTTGACTTTGACCCAAATAACCCTTGATCTCAAGCAGGCTTGATTCTTAATTCAATTAAGAATGAAAATATTGATATAAAAATTCAGAGCCGTTCTCGTCGACCTCGAGCCGGGCACAATGGACTCGATTCGGAGCTCGCCAATTGGCGAACTTTTTCGACCGGATAACTTTATTTTTGGTATCAAAGCTTTAGTTAATTTATTCAACGCCTTAGAGCAGTTAATTCATTAATTCATTAGCTCAAAGAAAATCTAAAGAAAGTCAAGTGTTGGGAAGCAGAAAAGGCAAAAAGCTGTTTTCATTTGTGGAAATCCTGTTGAGGAATTCTTCTTTTTAAATTAAAATCTTCTGAAAGATAGGAAAATGAAAATCATAGTGTTCAATATTTATGGAAACCAATAGATTACTAGATTTAAAGCCTATTTTGTACAAGTTTAATGCTAAAAAGTAAACATACTTACCGTAAATACTGCAATAGTACCCCACCCCCCTCGTACAGGCGCGTAGTCGCAATGTGTTTTTTGGTATTTCATTTTTTTCAAAGCGCCTGTACTTTCAAAAAATGCGTCTTTGGTATCAAAAAATAGCTGCAATCTAGGGCTATTTTTTGATACCTAAACGCGCATTATAGCATAAACCAGTGTCGAGAAACACTCGTTCAAAGCTAGACTACGCAACACACTGCACCGTCATTATGGGGGTGGGGTACTATTACAGTATTTACGGTGTCAATAACATAAACAACTTTAAGTTACTTTTTTTCAAAATTATATCCTTTTGCGGTTGCTTGCTTAGAAACGCCCAAAAAGGCTTATTGTGATCGGATTAAATCAATTGATTTTCTCACAAAACTCTCGTTAGCCTTTCTTCAAAGAAAAACTAACAAATATGAAAAGAAATATTGTAAAATATGATTCTAACATTTTTAATGCCCCATAGATTTTAAAACTGTTAAAAAGTGGACTTTTTAAACAAGAACAACCCAAATCTGATTTCTTTTGGTGGAATTTGTTGATCGATTTGCCTTTTTCGATCGGTTTTTGTATAACAAATTAAATAAACTCTAAAAAATAATCTAGAAAATTGAGTTCTTTCCAACTTCTATACAATGCTTTCTTAACGATTTTTCTCATAAACAAATTTTGAGAGTGCTAAACGATCTGCGAGCTTAAAAGTCTCCATAAATATTGAACATCTAGTATTATCAAAAACCATTTCTATAGATTAAAAGATTTCGAACGAAAAAGTTAAAAACCAGGTCAATCGGGTGCTGGTAACAACTGGGCCAAGGGTCATTACACGGAGGGAGCGGAACTCGTCGATCAAGTGATGGACGTGATTCGAAAAGAGGCTGAGGGTTGTGATTGTCTACAGGTAGGTTTTGGCAAGATTTACTATACAAAAAAAAAGCTAAATAAATGGGCAAAACCTCTTTAAAAAATTCAGGACTAGGTTTCTTGATTTTTGCGTAAGTTATTTCCCTTTCAGCTCGTCTAAAAAGGTTCACAGGCACTCGATTCACTTCAATTAGGGGTTAAAATGAAGAGAAATGTTTGCGGATTATTTATCTGGAAACTGTTTGAAAAAATATTGACTTTCAAGAGAGTTATGAGCCTTTGAATGCAAATTTCTCATGCTAAAACATTCTGAACGGTCATAGTTCATAGCACAGTTCATAGTTCATTTTTTGCCTTCCGTAGCCGATTTTCTATTATACGCTAACTATAAACAAGTTTAAATCTACTCATTTGTCTAAATCTAAAGTCGAAATTCTCGTTTAGGGTTTCCAACTAACTCATTCGCTTGGCGGTGGAACTGGCTCCGGAATGGGAACTTTGTTGATCTCGAAGATTCGCGAAGAATATCCGGATCGAATTATGAACACTTTCTCTGTTGTTCCCTCGCCAAAGGTATTTTAAAACTAAAGTATCACAAGAATTTGCAAAAAAAGCAAAACATTCTCCCCGGCCGGGAATTGAACCCGGGTCTCGCATGTGACAGACGCGGATACTAACCACTATACTACCGAGGACTGGTTCGGAGTCGTGAGAAAAGGGCTTTTCAGGTCTCGGACACCGTGGTCGAGCCTTATAACGCCACTTTATCAGTTCATCAATTGGTGAGTGTTTTTTTGGGGTTTATCAAATGCAAATTTCTGTTCAACGCTAAAATTTTTCAATTTTATCAATGAATTTTAGTGATTTTGGTAACAAAAACGTGATTTATCTAGCTAAAAGTGCTTTAGGAAGGTAGATAGAAGTTGTTTTTTAGCTAATCTAGCTTTGTTGCTTTGTTGAATTACAGCTAAAGGTGGGATTTGGCTTGAAAAAGCTTCCTTTGAAACAAGTTTCCTGCTTTAAACTTAAAAATTTTATGTGGAAAACACGGATGAAACATTCTGCATTGACAATGAGGCTCTTTACGACATTTGCTTCCGAACGCTGAAATTGACGACTCCAACCTATGGAGATCTCAATCATCTCGTTTCGATGACGATGAGTGGAGTGACCACATGTCTTCGTTTCCCTGGACAGGTTTGAGAAAACAAAAACATTTAAAGATGATCTTTTTCATAAACTTTGATTAAAAGAAAGCAAATCCATTCAAAAAATGAGATTTTGAATCGAGTCAAATCAAATTTAAATCAGATCCGAATGCTCTAGTAGTTTGTCGAAATACTCTAGTGCCCTAGTGCTCTAGTGCCCTAGTTCGGGGCCCAGTTTGTCACGCCGGTTTTTTCATACTTGCTACTAGTTTTAAAAAATTTTTTGGAGTAATCAATTGCACTGAATCCATTGGAAGCATTTCTAAACCATTCTAAACAACTTTTATGTCAGCTTGAGTTCTCTTAAACCTTGAATTCCGAGTCTTCAATAGTGGCTCGATTTCCACTGCGTTTAGAGGTAGAGGGGGACCGAATTAAGAGGCTTAAAACCTCAATAACTGCTTGTAAACAGTTATTAAGGTTTAAATCAGTACCAAATTAAGAAGCTATGCCATTAAAAACCTTAGAAGCAAAAAAAAAGCTTTGGTTCAATAGAGATGAATGTACACTTGCTCCCCGAACTACTATAGCATCCAAATCCGATCAAAAAACTAAAATTGGATTGAATCCGAATTGATTCAATCATAAATTTGTTTTTTTTCCAAAACAGTAGCCAAATATTTTTATCTTATCTTTCTAAAATTACTCTATCGTCATTTCTACTTTTAATTTCTCCTTTCAAATCCAAAAACCTTTCAGCTGAATGCGGATCTCCGAAAATTAGCTGTCAACATGGTTCCCTTCCCTCGTCTTCACTTTTTCATGCCAGGTTTCGCTCCGTTAACTGCTCGGGGTAGCCATGTCTATCGAGCGATGACAGTGAGTATCGAAATCAAAACCTCTTCAACGATGACTCAATATTGTTAACCAAGACTTCACTTTCATTTCGATTTTAGGTACAAGATCTCACGCAACAGATGTTCGATGCAAAGAATATGATGGCCGCATGTGATCCAAGACATGGACGATATCTCACAGCTGCGGCCATCTTCCGCGGAATAATGAGCATGAAAGTGAGTGCTGCAATTCACAACAGTTTGTGCATCCCTTTACGAGAGCGCGTTCCAAAATTTTTTTAAGGCACTTTTACAAGGCCTTGGGGTTAATGCCAACCTCAAACTTGGGTAATTAAACCGAAATGGGTGATCACTGTGGCGGTATCTGTGAAGGCCGTGTGCCAAATGCCGTTTCTTTCCTACGAGACACACAAAAGGTCACGTCGTCTGCGTCTCTTCGGTGATCAAGGATCTCTTTCACTATTTCAACCGTCTCTCAGGCAATATCCTCTTGCGACCACAGTATGTTGAAAACACGGGACCCCATCCGATCTGGCGAGTTAAGCAACGTTGAGCCTGGTTAGTACGTGGATCGGAGATGGCTTGGGATCCCGAAGAGAGCTTTTTGCTTTTTTGCCGATGGTTTACTCCAAAACCTTGCAAAATTGTCTTGAAAAAGTTTGAAAATCGTGACCGCAAAGGGGATGCCAAATGAAATTTGATTTAGAGCTATCAACTTTTTAGGAAGTCGATGAGCAAATGTTGAATGTGCAAAACAAGAACTCGTCCTACTTCGTTGACTGGATTCCGAACAATGTGAAAACCGCTGTAAGTGCACACCTTGAAAACTTAATAAAAAAAGAGAAAAATTCCTTGAAATTTTAGGTTTGCGACATTCCGCCTCGTGGTCTGAAGATGGCTGCTACCTTCATCGGTAATTCCACCGCTATCCAGGAGCTTTTCAAGAGAGTTGGCGAACAATTCACAGGTTAGTCTAACCAATTCTAAAAGCTCGTTTACTTAAAAAAAGAAAAAAACTTGCTATCCAATGAAATCCTTGCAAACCAAGAAGTTCAACAATTTTATTACAAAAGAACAACAATTAACAATTTTAGCCATGTTCCGCCGCAAAGCTTTCCTTCATTGGTACACCGGCGAAGGTATGGATGAGATGGAATTTACCGAAGCTGAAAGCAATATGAATGACTTGATCTCCGAATATCAACAGTATCAAGTACGAACAAAATTTAACAAGACTAATAGTTCATTCCCACTTTTCAGGAGGCCACTGCCGACGAAGAAGCAGCTGATGGATTTGAGACTGAATAGTCACACTCTTTATCTTTAGCTTTGAATTTCAACTGCCTGCTTCCCATTGCCTGATTTTTGGTCTTAAAGTTTGTTTAAATAAAGAAATAAATTTATTCAATTATGACGTAAGTTTAACAACGAACTGTGAGTTCAAAATATTGGTTACATTGAATTTTTAAGAGCTATACAATATGAAAGTACTGAAAACATCGAGTGCGAATGGTAACCGAACAATTTATTTGACGATGACACCCGTCGGATCGTCAGCGACGCCGCAAGCGTTGATACCTAAACCATTCAGTGAAATAACATTAAGTGAAAACGCCTAGAATAACTGAAAATTCTAGTTTTAGGTTTATTGCAAAAGCAAAACTTCACCTCGAGCAAGCTTGAAGTAGCCGTCGATTCCCCAGCGTTTTCCCCACGAGTTCTTAATCAACCAATATGGCTTGTTGTTGTCGGCTCCTAAAATTAAAGTTAAACTTTCTTATTCTTTCAACCAACCATATCCAACCACCGTCACTGCATGCCATCCATCGCTCTGGCTCTTGCAATCAAAAGGTGGATTAAAGACACCGTCACGATACGAATAGAAAGCACTGGGAACAGCCATTGCTAAAAATTGTAAATCAAAAGCAAATGCAAAACATTCTCTTACTAATGACAATTGGTCCCTTCTTTAACACCCATGCGGCCATTGCTTCCTCATACTTTGGCAATTTCTTTGGTCCTTTCACGAAACGTCGAATCTAAAGTTGAAACATCTCGACGATTAACATTTCAAACGTACATCAAATATAGAGCCGCGTTTGCACGTAGCGTTCTTTGACTCTTTGCCAAAATAGGGGCTTTCAACTTCGCTTTGAATACCGTGCTTGGCAATGTACCTAAAAATTATTGATGAAAGCTTCTCGTAAGTTTTACTTGATAGCCATATCTGGATATCCGCCATCGCATCCAACAGACTCCTTATTATCGCAATCAACGAGATTTTGCTCCGAGAGATTCAACTAGAACAAGGTTTCTTCTTGTTGAAAGCTGTAAACAAACCAATTCACCACTTTTAATTGCATAAGCTGATTCAACAGCGGCCACAGCGGCAAACGCCCAGCAACTTCCACAGCTTCCTAAAATCCAACAATTACATAAAAACAAAAAAAACCAAACGCTACCTTGGTTCTTTACTGGCGTTACAAATCCTTTCTTAACCCAATTAGTCGATGAATAACGAGCCGCTCGCTTGGCTCTCAGCTTTTCATCAGGAGTATCAAATCGGAAGAAGTTGTTTATCTCATTGTTGATATCATCACCGGTCGCATCGTAATTGTGCAGGAGTGGATTGAAGCGCAAGGCCATAAGTTTCTAAATACAAAAAATTCTCACTTGCTAAGTGAACAAACCTTCTTCATTTCAGCCAACGGAGTATCAGCATATTCGGTGACATCAAGATCTAAAGAAATTGATAGAAGAGTATGCAACAATTTAGTTCTTAAGACAGCCCTATAGCCTTGATCACCCCTCTTCAACTTACCAATGTCTCCGCCAAGCACGCGCTCATCTTTCTCCCAGCGTTCCATGTTTTCAGTGAAAACGTTGTAGCGATAATTCCGTTCAGCTGTATTCATGTACTCCTTTTTGTAACTGAACAAGTCGAGTAAAATAGCAAACGATAAACACTTACTCAGCGACGTATTTGTTGAAAGCGGCCTCGAAGCGTCTAATCTTTTCCACAGATTCTGAATGCTTGTTGAGAGAATATCTAACCTAAAGAGTGATGGTTTTTTTCCTTGAAAGAATCACAACCCAACTTACCAAGACCATGAAGCAGAGAACCGCGAGAAGTAACAGGATGCACCAGTGACCCAGACCTTTCTTTCGTGGCTGTTGTTGCTCGTTGCCACCATTCTCACAGCGTTGATAGGGTGAGCGACTAAAACTAAAATGATTTATAACAGAAATTTTTATTGTAAAGCTTTTTCATTTTTCGTACCTTTATATAATGTAACTATGATAACTGATGAGTGGAGATTGAGGGATCCCGCGTGAAATCTGGAGTTTTTACTCAAATTTAAAGCCAAGCGGGTCAAAAATTCATAAAAACAGGCAAAACAGGTGGGCTTTTTGTAACACACCCTGTCGACTAACTAGTTTCTAGCTCATATTAAGAGCCACAGCAGGCAAGTTAACTCATAAACGTCAACAAAACTCACTCGGGAGAATACTTGACACCAGCTTGCTTCTCTTCATCTGGCTTCAAAAGCGCTTCTTTGGGCGTCTTCAAAAGTGGATACATCACTGAAAAATGGAAATCTTTGAGTGAAAAGCAAAAAAGCAACAAAAAAAGCAAGTAATCAAATTTTAAAAACTTCCAACACAAGTGAAAATATGAAACGAAATGAAACGAGACGAGCGAAACACAAAAAAACGTTTTGATAGAGTACGGTAGTTTCAGTCGTTTGCTAAAAAGCAATACTTTAAAATTTTTGGGGATTTAAACTTTGCATCTTGAAAAATTTTGCATTTACCGTGTTCTCCGCAAAAATGAATTCAATTCATTCGTTGCGAGAAGATCAAGATGGACGGTGAGGTGAGAAGATTTTGAGTTTTTTTCAAAAAAAGCGTTAGTTATACAGTTTGTCAATTTGTTGTTTAGCTTACCAACAGCTTTATTTCTTGTGTCACACCTTTTGGTACTGATAAATTTAAAACGTTAGTTAACTACGTATTTTGCTAGTGTTAAAGGAGATTGACACGTATTTTATCAACTTCTCAGGATGATCAGTAAAGTTATTGCCACATTTTGGTGATAAAACTATAGGACTGCTTTGAAATATAGCATTTTCTTGGGGATTTAGAGTGTTTTAAAGGATAACAGTGCCACTCTTTGTTGAGTTAGAACATGTTACTGGAAGGATTTATGAAATTTCACCAATTATATTTTTGATTTAGACGATTACCTTCGAAATCATTCGATCAAACGATGGCACTCACGTAATAAAAGATTCTTTTGGTTGGTGCATTTTGTATTTTTATGGGAACTAATCTATTTAATACATTTTTGATTTTAGATGTCGATGTGTTGGAAGATGAGCGATCGTTGGATTTAACCCGATGTCGAATCTCAAAGATTCCTAACATTCCTTCACTGCCACAGCTTGATTCTCTTTGTCTGCGGTTTGTTTTTAAACCCTCATAAAATATTCTTGTTTAGATGGAATCTTTTAAAGAAGATCGAAGGCCTTAACGAGCTTACGTCTCTTACGAAGCTCTCTTTGTATGACAATCAAGTGACTTTATTGCTTTAATGGATTAATCAAGGTTTTGTTTAGATTGAGAAGATTGGGGGCTTGGAAACATTAACGAATCTCCGCTTGTTGGATCTCTCGTTTAACCGAATCACAAAAATTGGAGGTTGACTTGGTTCGCTTTTTGTTTACTTGCATCTAAAATTTAGGTTTATCTACATTAACACGTTTGGAAACTCTTTACCTTGTCAACAACAAGCTCACAAAAATTGAAGGATTGGATACGGTGCGATTTTACCACATAATGTTTTAAAGAACTTTAATTTACTTTTTGCTTAGTTATCGGAGCTGACCCTACTTGAACTTGGCGACAATCGGATCACTAAAATCGCTGGACTTGGCAATCTTCAAAAGTTGGAAAAGCTCTTTCTCGGAGCCAATCAGATTCGTGTCATTGAAGGTCAGTTTTTCATAGTTGGATAATCTCTTATCCATTAACAAAATCAAAAACTCACCCAAATTGATTGACTTTATTTAGGTCTGGAACCACTTGGTGAATCACTGAAGACTCTTTCTCTTCCTGGAAATGCTCTCACTGAAATCACGGGTCTGAACGAGTTGCACAATCTTCAGGAATTGAGCCTCGCCCAGAATGGGATCTCTCAAATTAAAGGGTGCGTTCTATTTGTGCTTTATTTACGGTTATCATTTAACTTTGTAAAGTTTAGACTCGAAATATTGGAGAAGCTGAAGTGCCTCGACTTGAATGAAAATCGCATCGAATGCATTGAGAATGTTGGCCATCTTCACTCGCTTAGTCGATTTTGGATTCGTGCAAACAAGGTCTTTAAGTTAAAATGATAGTCATGATGATTAAAAGTTTAAATTATCATGATATTTTATTGCAGAGACCTAGCTTTTATCATTCAAAATGTTTAGCTCACTTCATGGGATGAATTGTCAATTCTTGCCACTCTTCCATCACTTCAATCGGTTGCTTTTGAGATGAATGGGAATATCTACTCGAATACGCAGAAATATCGAAACCGTGTAGCTCAAACGTTGCCTCAGGTGCCATTTTTATGACTTCGAAAAGCAATATCGTCTACTTTAGATTAAAGAAATTGACGGTTTTCCGACGAAATGGCGTACAGGCGATCCGTGGCAAGAGTTGAGCGATGAAGAAGCCGATGATGGTGATGATGTGGTTGAGGAGGAGACATTGAGCACCGAATGGGAAGAGAGTCACACGCAAGATTCGGAAGAGGAGTACTATCGGTACGCTCTTTAATTGTAAGGTATTATAAATAATTTTGTACTATTTTTACCTGTAATATCTATTACTTATTTGTATTTTAAACTTAAAAATCTTCTTTAGGGAGAAGAGTCAATTCGAGGATAACAGTCTCATCATTGATTTCGACCGTGACGTCACCGATCTCGAGAAGAATGAGTCAAAGAAAAGATAAAAATGTCATGTTAGAACCGTTTTTCTGTAATAAAAGGCAATGTTTAGAAAAGAAATGGGTAACAATCGATTTGTAAGTTCGGCATTGTAATGTTTCATGGAGCTTCTAGAATTTTATCAACAGATTCATTAGCAAATGGAGAGGTAGCACCAAACTTTGTATCTCTTCTCGAGTTGTTCAATTAATGATCGGAGCCACGACAATCTCGGCCATTCCACAAACGTTGTGGCCTGGAAATCTTTTGGGTTTTCAAATTTTCGCCAATAACTGCTCTATTGAAATGCAACTCATATTTGATTCTTGCAATTTTTTAAGTCCCTGCTGAAAATTTCTTGGGTTGGCAGGTCATTTTCTTGTCCAAAATCATTTCCCCCACTTACCTCGTGCCAATTTGAAGTATCCGTCGATTCCCCAGCGGCTACCCCACGAGTTTTTCACCCACCAATAGTGATGCCCGTTCTCGAAACCTGAAACTTGTGTCATTTAATCAAGGTTTTCAATTTCACCAGCTTTTAATCAATTACCGTATCCAATGATGGTCAATGCATGAGATCCATGTGATTTTTCCGAGCACTCCTCCTTGGTTGGATGGAAGATTCCAGATCGATAGGAGAAGAGAGGCTTTGTGACGCTCATGCCTGTAATGTACTGTATGCCTTGGAAATCTACACATTTTCATCTAAAAGCTAATAAGATTATGATAGCTTCTTTAAAAGCGCTTCTTTTGGGTTGATCCAGATTCACTTCAAAGATGCGAAATCATTAGAGATCATGAGATTGAATAACTCACCGAAAGAAGCCGGTCCTTTGGAGGCAATCCAATCAGCGATGGCGTCTTCGTTTTTCGAGAGAATATTGTAGTCATCAATGTAGATCCGCTTCTGGAAATTTCATAAATTGTAATGAAATTGGATATGTAAATAAGTATTTAAAAAAGTTAGTGTTTTTTTTGACCAAGTTGCACGACTAATAAACTCATTCAAACACAAAAACCCAACCGTTCCATTGGTGGCCAGCTTGCAATCGTTTCCGTCTTTTCCCGTGTAAGGATAGGCTTTCTCTTCAACGAGACCGTTTTTCTGAATCCATCTGGACAAAATTTGTATTGAGCTTACGAGGTTTATTACTTGAAAGCATATGGTCGATATCCGCCATTGCATCCCTTTTGATCGTGCTCACAGTCGATTAACTCCTGCTCGGAAAGTGAGTACTGTAATTTGTGAATGATTTTTGAAAGGATAAAATAAAAACTCAGATCTAGTACTGATTAAATTCAAGAAAATAGCTGATAATCTTGTCTATATGTAAGAAATTTAGACTTTTATCAATCCACACCAATTGATTTTTCTTGATTGCGTGAACTGATTCGATGCTCGCCACCGTCGCGAAACTCCAACAACTGCCACATTGAGCTGAAATTTTGTCGAATTGGTTTTGAGCATTTACAAAAGAGTTAAAACTGATCATTTTGTCGAATAAACTAGGCTATCCGATATTTGCCTATATTTGTCGAGATGGATTCAGAAAAACGATCTCGTTGAAGAGAAAGTCTACCCTTACACGGGAAAAGACGGAAACGATTGCAAGCTGGCCACCAACTATGGAATAAAACTAGGCAATGTCAATTTTTGATGTCTACTTTTGACGTACTGTAGGACTGTACCTTTGGTTTTGGTTAAAAATTTCAACACTCAACCAACCCTGATCTTTCACGGAGCTCACTTTTCCCGAGCTACGCCAGTCGATCGATTCGGGTCGTTTGAAACCCTCGGGAATATAGGATTTCTTCAGAGTTGAACCTTCCATCGGCATCTCTTTCATATCGGACATTAGCACCTAAGTTTTTGCAATCAGTTAATAAAATCCTACAAACTCCATGAAACATTTCAACGTTTAAAGCTCTTGTATTGGTGTTAAACTGTTGTACAATGGGTACGACAAAAAGTAAAAATTAAAATCGTAAAACTCAAAAATCTAAACAATAACTTCTTTAGGTACTTGTGAATCTTATCCCCGCAAATTTATACAATTTTGAATTTAAGCTTAAATTTGCATATCGAAGTGCGGGGATAAAATTGAAACCAAGTGGAGAAACAAACGCCAAAGAGGAGCACACCACGAACAACACCTCAACTCTTACCTGTTTGAATTTATTTGGCAACAAAAGACAAAGGATTTCAACGCAACAAAGGAAACGATTTATTCACGTAAATTATGGCCGACATTGCTACCCTGCATCCCGCTGAGGCCCAAGTTTTGCTCAAGCTTTAGCGGATTTTTAAAGCTTTTTAAAACTGCAACAAATTCCCTTTTATACTTTTTAAAATGTAAATTTTAATGCAATATGTTAATTCGCAGATCACAAATTTAGTTTGCGGGGATAGGATTCTTTTTTTTATTGGGTTGGTGAATTGAAAACTGCGGGCTATTGTCATATGTGACAATTTGAGCACTTTCTTCATAATAAACCCATTTTGGTGTCAATAGAAAGGTTGTAGAGAATCAAAAATCAAGCTTATATCCAAATTTTCAGAACGATTCAAAAACTGGTTTTCAAGAAATGCCAAATTTACGAATTTTCACAAAACTTGCATTTTAAGCGAAACTACTAAGTGTATCTTTTTGGAAATTTGGTTATAAGCCTAATTTTTGATTCTCTACAACTTTTCTATTGACACCAAAATGGGTTTCTTTTAAAGGAAGTGCTCAAACTGGGCTGACAGCTGACATCTCCAGTCCTCTATTTTTGAGTCTCACACTTGTCTCACAAACAAACCAAAATTCTACCACGAAAGAGGAGTCCGCAAATCGCCTGGGAAATGGGCAGAAGTCGTCAATCATAATGGAAATTATTTCGAATGAATTTATGGTTTTATGTTGAATAAATTTTAGTTCAAAGTCCCGTAGTTTTCAATTCACCAACCCAATAGTTGCTACTCAGCGAGCATGACCCTTTTTTAAGTTGCGACCGTTAAGGCAATCAAATACAGTGAAGAGTTGGGAAAGGTGAATGAATCCCTGAAGAAGAATAGGCCCTCTAAGTCAAAGATCGTTCTCATTCACGACAACGCGCGCCCTCATGTTGCAAAACTGACTCGGTCTAATGATAAATAGGCTTGTTTGGGAACTTTTGGCGCATTCCCCATACAGTCCGGACCTCGCCCCTTTTGATTACTATTGATTCCGGATGATGAGTAATGAGCTTGCGGGAGAACACTTCGATTCGGAAGAAGCAGTCAAAAATTGGCTTTGAAAGTTTTTCGAATCAAAACCAAAATCCTACTACGAAAGAGGAGTCCGCAAATTGCCTTTAAAGTTTAAAGTGGGCAGAAGTCGTCAATAATAATGGAAATTATTTGGAATGAATTGATGGTTTTATGTTGAATGAATTTTAGTTCAAAGTCCCGCAGTTTTCAATTCACCAACCCAATAGTTGCTACTCAGCTAGCATGACCCTTTTTTAAGTTGCTATCCAGCTAGCATAAAAAACATTCTTACATAGAAATCCTTCTATTAGAAAACAAGTAATTTCAGTGGACTTTTACACGGCTCAATTCCATTTTCTTTAAGATAATTGGTTTCTGATTCACTCAATTCTATGCTTTTCTTTGGAAACGAATCTTTGTTCCGAGAAAAATAAAGAATTGAGTGCACCAGGAGGAGTGTGTTTAGATTTTTGAGCTTAACTTACACCTGGGACAATGAGTTTGAAAAAATTCAGCGTACAGTACTAGTCATTCTTACCCTTTTCAACTCGTCATCAGTGTAATCGGCAAACTGTGTGACGTCAAGATCTAAATATTCAGTTATTCCAAGAATCTCTCACTCTTTACCCAAATCCCCGCCAACTCTTTTCTCCTCTTCTTCCCATTCTTTCATATTCCGCACGAAAACATCGAAACGATAGTTTTCCTCTTCAACACTATCGTAATTTCTTTCATATCTAAAAAATATTTTTTTTAATTAATCTAAAACATTTAAATATTTGCTCTTTACTCATTTTTGAATTCCTCAAAAGCATCGACGTAACGGCGGTGATCCCTGAGACATTTGGTGCTCTAAAAGTCGGATTTTAAAGGTTTCAATGTCATTAGGTTTTGGCTTATCTTAGATTTTCAAAATACAATCAAATCTCGATAGTAAACCGATAGCAAAAAGATTTTAAAGTCTCATGAAAAAATAATTTTAAATGAATTTCAAATGAATTTCAAATGAATCTCAAATGAATTTCAATTTCAAATAAGCTTGTACAGTCGAACCTCTCTATAACGTAAGGCGTGACCGGTCCCGGCCGACGTTAAGCTATATAAAACGGCACTCTATATAACGTAAACCTCTATATAACGTAGCCGTCCCGTGAGTTACGTTATAGAGAGGTTCGACTGTATTTGAAACGGAGAACAAATTAACTTTGCAAATCCAAAAAAAGCAAAAGAGAAGGGTTAACATACCGTAAATACTGTAATAGTACCCCACCCCCATAATGACGATGCGGAGTGTTGCGTAGTCTAGCGTTGAACGAGTTTTTCTCGACACTGGTTTACGCTACAATGCGCGCTTAGGGATCAAAAAATAGCCCTGAATTTCAGCTTTTTTTTGATACCAAAGACGCATTTTTTGAAAGTACGGGCGCTTTGAAAAAAATGAAATACTAAAAAAACTTTTGCGACTACGCCACTATACGAGGTGGGGTACTATTACAGTATTTACGGTAGGTAAACAACGTTAGGTTAACATTTCTGTAGTAGAGAAAGTACAAGTCAAAGATGACTTTTGGCCTTTCGTTTAAGCTAGACCAATCTATGCAATCAGTTTGCTCTGACAGAAAAAAATTCGATTTTTGATTTCTTTGAAGACCGTGCTAACACGTTTTGAGCGTACAGTCACGTAGTCATTAACTTTTTTACTAATAATTTGGTGTAAATTCAAAGATCAACTAAACTAATATAGTCATTCGATAGCCCTGAATCTCCTCTTGAAAACTAGTACAAAGTTAC